CCGAAGTAGAGGAAACGGTAAAATAAGCGGATTGTTCTCAAGTTTGCCAAATTTTTCTTCCAATATTGGAACCGACTCATAAACCTATATAAGCAACGCATGCACACATCCATGGAAGGTGTAGCTATTTCCACCTAAATATGCAATTTTGATAGACAAAATCATCTCCTTAAAACCGACCCGCCCCCATGGATAACTCTTAAAAGCTTTGTCATCCATAACTCTCTTCGCACAATCCAAAGGAAGTCGACTATTCCGATTAATACCAAATATCCCAACATACAGTATGGACAGCAACACAAGCATCTTCTTCTGCTGATACGACCAAGTTTTGCATCTTCCAATTACCTCAACCAGCTCATGTCAATTTGGCCCTACCCCTGCATTCATGCCAATCTCTCCCCAGAACTCGTTGTGATCTATGTCCCACGGCTCATCCCCAATGGGCTGACAGTTGAGCCCGGTTATATCTTCAAACTCGTGGAGCAAAAACCGCACTGGACGCCCACCAATAAGTGCCCAAATCTTGTAGATTCGGTCAATAGCCAGTTGATTTGTTACCATGTTATGGACTGTTTTTGCGGTCCATATGTACGTCTTCTCTACAAGACTCAATACGACTCCTACTTGAGAATTGTTCTGTATGTCATTGTAGACATCCTCGCCAACAGCCTCCTTCAACATCCAAAAATCTGTCAAATGGCAGTAGTTGTTCAAACTCCTCTTATGAACAGGAGATTTCCCTGGAGGAAACAATCGAGGTGGGTAAATCCACTCCTCTTTGCGTTAAGATGACGTCCACTGACCTGCAAAAAATTACATATAAGTCATCCATTAAGTCTACCACCAAACGAAAGCAAAAAACTATACCAATAGATCTAACTTATCAAGTCTACCACCAAAACTAAAGTAAGTCATTCATTAAGTCTACCACTAACATGCGAAAACCATCAACTCCACCAAAAAGTCTACCAAGACAACTTATCAAGTCTACCACCACAAAATAGTTATTTATTAAGTCTACCACCAACCTACGACAACCATCAACTCCACCAACAAGTCTACCAAGACAACTTATCAAGTCTACCACCGAAAAATAGTTATACATTAAGTCTACCACGAAGTGCCTCGATCATCAAGTCCACCAACAAGAGCTTCAAAAGTCTAACTTAACAAGTCTACCACAACAAATCATCAAGTCTACCACCAAAAACCATTAAGACTTACCATTTATCAATTCTACCACAATTTAAACAAATCTACCGTCACACTAAACCATCCATAAAAGAACAAGCCACATGTCAGGTTACCTTTCTCTATCCTGACCGGATTTCGCCCGTATCCCCACCGGATTCCGCCTTTATCCTCACCGGATTCCGTCCTTATCCTCACCGGATTTCTACTAAAAACAATGAAATAGTGCGGTTAGACAATTAAAAGTCTACCATCACATCATCGGCTATATCATAACAAATCTACCATATGGCACCTACGTTTTACCCCGATAATTCACTGAAAACGGAAACATTTTCATCCGGTTACCTTTCTGCGGTTTAACTTTCAATAAACACCGGATTTCGTCGTCGTAGTCGCCGTTGTACTGCAAATAAATAAAAATCCACGGTTCACGGTCACCATTAATCCAAAACTTTTTTAATTTATAACCAGTTGAACGAAGATGAAACCAGTTTCAATCGAGTTTAATCGTGAATCCACTACTCTGATAACACCCTAGATCTACAAAAAATCGACTTGAATCGAAGATGAAACCACTTACTCGAAACGAAAGAGCCGCCGCCGTCGCTGCTAATGATATGTCGTCGTCGTCAATAACTATATGCCACACACGAAAGAATCGCCCGTCGCAGCAAAGCGAAATTCCACCACTCTAGAATCGCCCGTCGCAGAAGAGAGATCTAGGGCTTCCGTGGCGGCGAGTTTTTTTTGTTTGAGCAAATGATTTTTTTTTCTTTCTTATTATAATTTTAATCTCTATTTCTTTTAATCTTATTTTTTCCCAGAATTACTGATTTATTTTATTTTTATTTTTATTACTGAATAATTATTTTATTTCTAAAATGACAAACTTGTTATTCAATAGATGTTTTGTCCCAAATGATATTTTATAAATTTATTAAGATTATTCTGGTTAGAGTCACTTGGCATGGAATTAATCTAGTAAATAGTTTAGGTAATAAACTCTAAAAACTAAGATTATAAGTGAGCAAACAAAAATAATCAAATGCAATTATAGATTACTAATCAAGCGATAAGTGAAAACATCAAACAATTGCAAGATTTATGATTATTTTTTTACTATGGACTAGTATATTTTAGTGTTTATAATGAAATTGCCCACGTTGACGAACGATTCCAAAAGAACCATTCGAACCCTATATATAACAATGATACACAACAAAACGCTAGAAAACTAAGCAAATCTGAATACGAGGCTTCGAGCAACCTCAGTGGTAATATCATTGGGAAGGGTCTTAATAATTAATTTATAATATTTAGGTATTTAAAACATTTTGCAAAGTTTGGTTGTTTTTAATCCTACAATAGAGACACTTTGATGGGTGTTTAAAAAAAAGAATTTTAATAAACTTAAATTAAAACTTATGTTAACAATTTTTAAAACATAAAACATTTTCAAAATAAAATACATAAAAACATAGAAATTACATAATTGCAATAGAGAATCTGGAAAAATATATCTAAGTCAAGTAACAATATTATATAAACAATGACCATTTCGTTATGAGAAGATAGCATCTAGCTTGCAGGTCGAAGCATGCTTTACCTTTATCACTGCCACATTGTCGACAAGCCTCAAGGAGCAGCGCTGAGATGGCTCTGTAATCTCTGTAACTTTCCAGGTTCTAGCTCTTTCCCCTGAATCATCAGCGATTCTAGGCTTCACATCAGCCAGAATTCGCACATCATTGATCTGAATAAGTAAAACTGTTTAGTTCATTACACTAAATAATCACCAGACTTCAAGGATACGCATCCAAATTCAGACTTAAACTCACCTCCATAGCTGTAAAAGAGGTAGATCGATCTGCCATAGTTATTCCTGCATTGGCACTTGAAGTACCAAAATTACCAGCTGCTGTAGGAACCTGCACACCAGATTGTGTTAACAAATAGCGTACAATGTCCACATAGATAGTATTCAGGAAAATATACCTTCATGACGGGTGCAGGGGTAAACGAGCGATTTTCTGCCGTTCTCAGCAACCTAATTCCATCATCATTCGTGAGGATTTCTAACACCATGGTCACTGGTTGAGACAGCTAAAAGCATTCCTTCCCTATTAAATCTAACACAAGGAGAAGCCTGAAGGTTTTGTACGAGTAATTAGCTGCTAGTTAGGAAGTAGTATAATAGCTAGAGGCCACGATCATTCAGTAATATTACCAGTAAGCCACCATCTGTATGAATAGTTGTCAAAGGATTTGTGTTGTAGTGAGGACAAACAGATAATACCGGAGCTTCATGACCCTCAAAAGTGAACCGTTTAGCCCCAGTAACAGTGTCCCAACCCTTTGGATTATTTTGGTTCATGTAAGTCATTCCCAACCATTAAAGTGCCAATAGAACATAGATAGTAGACAGAAAGACAAACCTTGATGATTATGTCATCGCCACAAGTAACAACAGATGATTCGTATTACCCTCTATCAGCTTCTTTGGCTCACCAAACATAATAACCCTTGCCGACTTTGTATCCCCGGATTTGGAGAGCTGCTCATTGGCTCTAAAAAAAGTTGATGTAATGGTGAATGAGAATCTCGTTGATATACATATAAGCATCTATAGCAAAAAAATATTGTGGATCAAAGTAATGAGAACCTAAAGTCATCCAGTGTCAAAAGAAGGGTGATTTCCTTGAAGAGATCTTCATTAAAGCCTGCAAACACCTTCAGGTCCTTGACTAGAATGTCCATAGCTTTTGCGCGATCACACCTACATTTTTTCAAAGGAAAAGAAACGTACTGAGAGACACATACTAACTAAAATAACTCATAGCACAAACAAACCTTAGAAGAGGGTCGTCAGCCCTTGATTTATTTGCTGCAGTTAGATACAAATCAACATAATCACTGAACGATTTGATTGGGACTCGTTTATCATTCAGCTCTACCTTCACAGTCTTTCCCAAACATCCAGCAATATCGAATACTCTTTTACTCATTAGAGCAACCACGTCGTCTTCTAGATGAGTCATGTTGAATTTTCCCAAATCTGGTTTGAAAGTGACTTTCGTCCAGTTCTCGCTCTTATTTCACTTGGTAATAACCGGCTCAGACTTCTTCCCCATGTTGTTCTCAAACACCTAATCAACATCTCCAGGAAATCAATGTTTAGTTCCTAAAGTTAATGTTATCAATCGATAATATCAAAGGCCTTAATCAGCAAGAGATGAATCATAAACCTAAACGAAATCAATATAAATCGCAAACAACGACTCAAATAGAAATCCAGATTTGATAGTACCTGCTTGTATTTTTTCAGTCTCTTCCCGTCAGCAGTTTCAATGGTGAATTCAGACGAGCCATCGACGGAAAGCAGAATCAAGAGACGAAAGCTATAGCTAGATGATATAGACAAACTAAACCAAAATAGATCTCAGCGAAAATCACACCTTGGTGTCTAGATTTTGCATTCTTTGGAGCATCGGATTTTCGCATGCTAGAGAGGAAGAGGAAGAAGAAGAGAAAAAGAGAGACGAAATTGGATTTTCATAAATTGTTTTTTTTTTTATTGATTTATTTCTCTCCATTCATAATTAGACATCTGTCCGTTCTTAAATCAGAAAAAGATCCTAAATAAGATATCGATCTAAAAATTAAGACACTATTTCTGATTTTTTTATTCAGTTATATTCTTTAAGAATATTTATTAGACACTTTGGTGTCACCTTAGAGTTGGTCTTATGCTTGTCTTATTGTATAAAGCGCATGAAACAAAGCCAACACAATCTTGGAGTAAAATGGGTTTTCATATATTCCGTATCATTCTCGTCGCAGTTTTCATCTTCCATGGCTCGTGTTATTCTGATAAAGGTACATTACTAGTTTTCTATAAGTGCCATATATGTGATGATAAGCTGAATTTAAGAGTAATATTAGTATTCATTTCAATATTCATAATTTGTTTTTTTTTTTTTTCGTGAAGCTGGACACTATACATTTATGAAAGATGCAACACTAGCACCAACTTATGCTAGCTTTGACTACATAATCATCGGAGGAGGAACCTCAGGTTGTGCATTAGCCGCAACACTGTCTCAAAACGCCAGCGTTTTGCTTCTTGAACGTGGTGGCTCTCCCTATGACAATCCAACGGCCACGGACATTGGAAACTTTGGTAACACACTCTTAAACATCACACCGAACTCATGGTCGCAGCATTTCATCTCCGAGGACGGCGTTTACAACATACGGCCACGAGTCCTCGGTGGAGGCACGGTGCTAAACGCGGGGTTCTACACACGTGCGGGAAACGAGTACGTGGAGGAAGCCGAATGGGAAATGGAGGTTGTAGAAGCTGCGTACGAGTGGGTCGAGAAGAAACTTGTGTTCGAGCCACGTGTGATGGGATGGCAAACGGCGTTTGTAGATGGGCTTTTGGAGGCTGGTGTGAGTCCGTATAACGGTTTCACTTACGATCATATCTACGGGACGAAGATCGGTGGTACGATCTTTGACGGCGCCAGTCATAGACACACGGCGGCGAACCTGTTAGAGTATGCTAATCCCAACAATCTTGTTGTATACTTGCACGCTTCTGTCCACAAGATCCTCTTCACAACTACAGGTATTTGCTTCATATTTATTATTTTTTTAACGAGCATTTAAAAAAGTAGCATTTTCAGTGTCATGATTGTTTTTAGCTGTAAAAATGTTATAATTTTATAATTTACTACAAATCTTTAAATAAAATACTTAAGTCGTTTTAAAACACATTTAGGAAAACTTTCGAAATCAATTGTATTTTGGATGAATTCTTTCCGTATGTATTAAAATTTGTGATATACATATACGTAGGAAGAATGTACATAATTATTATAAATTATACATTTTATTAGCAATAGCACCACCTCTATCATTATGTTCCAACGATCGGTCGACAACCCAATGCATTGACTTTATTTTTTTTTTTTTTTGTTAATTTAAAAAAATGTCTTAGCTGATCAGAAACATGTGCATAATCATTTTGTATTAGTATTGTCACTGTGTTATCACCGTTTTTAAAACTGAACATATTATCGAAATAAGTTTTTCTTAGCTTCTTTTATCTACGATTGATTTTTTTTTGTTTCAAAAGTTCAAGTATGGAGAAAAGGATCACTAAGTACTACTTTTAAACATGTACCTACAAAAATTGATTATATATTACTGTGTCACGTATTATATTATTTAAATTAACTAAGTGAATCATTCTCTGTTTAATTTATGACATGAAACAAAAGAATTAAGTGACAAAAAAAAGAGACCAAAAGCGTACAAAGTGATACTTCAAGATGCGAATGGAGTATTCCACAAGGTTGGGCTAGCAAATAACCCAATGAATGAAGTAATCTTGTCAGCTGGAGCCATGGGCAGCCCGCATCTGCTGATGCTGAGTGGTGTGGGTCCTATGGCCCATCTTGTGGCTCACGGCATTAAACCGGTGGTCTTAGATCATCCAATGGTTGGGCAAGGGATGGGTGATAATCCCATGAATCCCGTCTTGGTTCCTTCTCCTACGCCGGCAGAAGTGTCCCTCGTACAAACTGTTGGGATCACAAAGTTTGATAGTTACATCGAAGGTTTGAGTAACGCGGTTCTGTCTTATGATTTGACTCGTAGGTTTTTCAATGGTGTTCTGAATCTTCTCAAGGAGGAGGTAATAACATTAATATACATTTGACGTAGCGAAAGTTAGATAGATGAAAGTATATACTACAAAAGTTAGATAGATTAAAGTATATATTCGTTTAATCTAAGATAAATTAAAGTATTCCTTAACAAAAAAAAATCTAAGAATTTCTGAATAAACGAAAATTTTTTGGGTTGATTTCTACAAAGATCTGGTCGAAAACAAAAATTGAAAATACTTTTTTTTTATGGCTTATCAAAAGCTCTGTATTGAATATATTAATATTAATAACAACTGAATAAAACCATAGACTTAAAAAAAAAATATTTATTAAAGAACCTGAAAACTCTAAAAACTTTAAAATACATAAATAAGTAATACATACCCATTCTGTTTTTTTATATATGATGTTTAAGGTTTTTACACATAAATTAAAAAATTATTTAATTTTTAATTTTTTCAAAATAGAACATGTTTTATCGTCAATTTTAAAACAATTCAACAAATAGAAAAATAATATGCAGAATTCTTACAGTTTGAACAATATAATACATTTTATTTTATATAGATATATGAAAACATCAATTATTTTTGACAAAAAATGTTTCTAAAATATTTTATATTAAAAAAACGAAGAGAGTATTTGTTTTGAAAATGATAATGTCAATTATACGCTGCATCAACATTTGATAGGTAATTTTGTTGAGACTTGCTTGAGACTATCATGTCATTATACGCTGCATCAACATTTATTATGATAATAATAACTTTTTTTGTTTATGAGACTATAATGCTATTTAACTATGTCGCATTATGCAGACAAACCGTCCTACATCTAGAAATTTTTTTATCCAATCCATTGCGGACTTTCTAAAATCCGTGGATCTTGGATTCAAAGTGAAGATAAATGGGAATGTGATGTTCCAAAAAGTTTCTGGACCGGCCTCGAGAGGTCACATGGAGCTTCGGACCACGAATCCAAAGGATAACCCTTCGGTGACATTTAACTACTATCAAGAACCAGAGGATTTGAACAAGTGTGTCGAAGGAATTAACTCCATTATCAAAGTGATAGACTCGAAGGCCTTCTCTAAATACAAATACCCTGGTGTGATCGCACGTGAACTGCTTGATCTCATACTAGGCCTTCCCACTAATCTGAGGCCGAGGCATGTGACCTCAGCGTTTAATTTGAAACAGTATTGTATCGACACCGTGATGACTGTCTGGCATTACCATGGAGACTGTCAAGTTGGAAAAGTGGTCGACAAGAATTACAAAGTTTTAGGCATTGATGCTTTGAGGGTTATTGATGGATCCACATTTCTCAAGTCTCCTGGTACTAATCTTCAACTACGGTTATGATGCTTGGAAGGTAAGTGCAAAAACCAAGTGAACAAATGTGTTCATTATAACATGCTATAAGTATTTTAAAGACATGATTATAAATGGAGTGCTATATGTAGGTACATGGGACAGAAGATTCTTCAAGAGAGGGCTGCTTTCTGCGGAAATTAGGAAGCACCATGAGATTTTTAAATCAACATGTACTCAAAATTCAAAAGTTTTGTTATTTGGATTGTTGTTCGCATCGTTTAAAGAAAAGAAATTCTAAGGAAGAATCGGTATTGCATCGTGGAAAGAGTTGAATTTGCATTCTTTTCAGACCTCATATAACAAGGGGCCAATTGTTGGGTAATTACATTATAACCCATAGTTATGTTAATTAGTAAAACATGGCATGACAACAAAGAAATATGGAAAGTGTTGAGAGGAAACGAAAGTTTTTGTATCTATTATTATTAATCAAAAGAACTTTAAGCTACAAATCCTTACATTTTGAAACGAAAATGTAATCCCAAACTGAGAAGAAACCAAAATGAAAACGGAAGAAAGCCTAATATTTTCTTCTGTGCTATTTATAGCCTTAAGCCACTAATCCGATTAAAATAATTAACTAAATTGCAACGAAAACAGAATCCGAAAAGAAAAGAAAGTAAAACGGAAAAAACAATCCTAATAGAAACACGGCTACATAAATTAAGTTACGAAAGAAAGAAGAGTACCTAACGCTACATTAGGTTTGTCTTTATGCAAGATGTGAAGTTATTTTGTTCAGGGACGAGAGTATTTACATTCTCAACTAAAATTACTATATTATATCTTTTTAATATGATGTGAAGTTAAATTGTTGGCTTTAGTTTCCGGAGTTCAGTTCAAAATCGTTTGGTTATACGGAAAACCCATAATCTGGGGAACTAATCAAATTTAAACAAGAGGATCATACAGTCATATACTCCATCTTAGTATATAAAGCGCTTGAAACTTTTACTCTTTTTATTTTATTATCTCCAAACAAAGCAAATATAATTTTACCCTGTAATGGATTTTCATATTTTTCCTTTTGTTCTCGTCACAATTTTCATATTACATGGCTCATGTTATTCCCATAAAGGTACAATCTTAACTTCATGAACCAATCATATTCAAAATGTGATGACATGTTCAATAACATTTGAGCAATTAATTTATTGTTTTAGTACGAATTTAAAATGATATGAAATTTGTTTTGGGTCGTGAAAACAGGGTCTTATGGATTTATGAAAGATGCAACATTAGCACCAACTATTGCTAGCTTCGACTACATAATCATCGGAGGAGGAACCTCCGGTTGTGCCTTAGCCGCAACGCTCTCTCAAAACGCAAGCGTTTTGGTGCTAGAACGCGGTGGCTCTCCTTATGAAAATCCGAGGGCCATGGACATCGACAACTTCCTCAACACACTCTTTAACATAACACCGGACTCGTGGTCGCAGCCTTTCATCTCCGAGGACGGCGTTTTCAACGTACGTGCGCGCGTCCTTGGGGGTGACTCGGTGATAAACGCCGGGTTTTACTCACGCGCGGAAGAGTATTACGTGGAGGAAGCTGAGTGGGAGATGGAGGAAGTGGAAGCTGCTTACGAGTGGGTCGAGAGGAAACTTGTGTTCAAGCCACAAGTAGTGGGATGGCAATCTGCGTTTAGAAATGGACTTTTAGAGGCAGGTGTGTTACCGTACAACGGTTTCACGTTCGACCATATCGTCGGGACGAAGATCGGTGGTACGATCTTCGACCCTGCGGGACATAGACACTCGGCCGCGGATTTGTTAGCGTATGCTAATCCAAAGTCGCTTGTTGTCTACCTGCACGCTCTTGTTCACAAGATCCTCTTCACCACTAAAGGTATTTGGTTGAGCTACATAGACCAGGGCCGGGGTTAACGGTTAGTTCGAATATTACAGTTTGGGTAATTCCGTTCGAGAAAACTCAACTCGAAAATAACCAAGATAAATTATGGTTTGGTTCAAATTAGGTTATAGTCGGTTAAAGTCAGATACATTAAGTTAGTTGGGTTCTTCATATAAAGAAATAATATATTTGGTAAGAAAAAAATAAGAAATATGTATGATTTGGTTTAAGTAAAAGTCGCAGGCCTAAATCTATACACTTGTTTTTTTTTTGTAGTAATTATTTATACTTTGGTCCATGGACAGGAGACCAAAGACCTAAGGCGTATGGAGTGATATATCAAGACGCAGATGGAGTGTTCCACAAGGCAGAGCTTGCGGGAAACGAAATGAACGAGGTAATTTTATGTGCGGGTGCCCTTGGGAGCCCACAGCTCTTGATGCTGAGCGGAGTGGGTCCTAAGGCTCATCTTGAGTCCCACGATGTGAACCCTGTGGTCGTTGATCTTCCCATGGTTGGACAAGGGATGGGCGATAATCCGCTGAACAGTGTTTTTGTTCCTTCTCCTACACCTGTAGAAGTGTCCCTCATAAAGGTCGTTGGGATCACCAAGTTTGATAGTTTCATTGAAGGTTTTAGTCGTTTGCGTCTCTCTAAGCCCTTGAACAGTAGGTTCTTCGATGGTGTTCTAAATCTTCTCAGCAAGGTACAATATGAATGTTATTATAACTTATTAGTTATTATCAAAGATAATGAACCTATATGTTATTTACTTATGATGCATTGTGCAGACAAGCTTCTCCACCACATCAATCACAAAGATTTTAAAATCCATTGATCTTCATTTGATGGACGTGTTGGAAATTGATGGCTGGATCGTCAATAAAGTCGACGGTCCGATCTCGAGAGGTTATTTAGAACTCCGGAACAAAAATCCAGATGATAACCCTTCTGTGACATTCAACTACTACCAAGCGCCAGAAGATCTAGAGAAATGTGTTAAAGGACTTAAAACCATTATGAAAGTGATAAAATCGAAGGCATTCTCCAAGTACAAGTACCCGAATGCAACCGCACGTGAGCTGCTCAATCTCATGCTGAGCCGTCCCATCAATCTAAGGCCAAGGCACGAGAGTGCATTGACCAACTTGACGCAGTTTTGCATCGACACTGTGATTACTATTTGGCATTACCATGGAGGTTGCCAAGTTGGAAAAGTGGTCGACAAGAATTACAAAGTCTTTGGCATTGATGCCTTAAGAGTCGTCGATGGATCCACGTTTTTCAAGTCTCCGGGGACTAATCCCCAAGCCACGAATATGATGCTCGGAAGGTAAAACGTAGAAATCAAATAGTCTATATATTACATATACATGCGTGTTATAGACTTAAAACATAGTTGTTGGAGTGTTTCATGTGTAGGTACATGGGGCAGAAGATTCTTCGAGAGAGAAATGCTTTCGGGAAAAAGATTATTCGATCATGAAAGATATATGATACCAATGTATGCTCTTCATCGTCCAAATAAATGAGTGATTATAATTTAGTTCATGTTGTCAGTTACTAGTAATCTTTCTAACTACATGTTTATATGAAGTTATAGATTCAGTACGGTTGGTGCATTTCTCCCTAAATAGAAAGTCCCCAAATCGAGCAACTCAATCCATAAATTCTATTTTCTTTCTGGAACAAAATTCAGAAGATCGACTCAACCTCACTCTTCTATCTTTCAATTGTTAACTGAAAAATCAACGGAGTTATTATCTTTCATTTGCCCAACCAATTTATTATCTCTCTATGTCTTTCTATTCCAATGAATTTCATTTCTAACGGTGGCTTTCCTTTGAAATATGGGTGTGGATTAAACGTAATCATCTTGGTATCTAAAACACAAGAATCCAGGATGACCATTTTTTGGTTGTGTAAGCAAAAGAGATGTAAGGGTTCGTTCAATCACAAGAGATGTACGTTTTTTGATACTGTTTTGTTGCTTATGTTTTTACATTATTGAATTGAAACCGAGAGAAATAATAGTCATTTTATTTGTTTATGCAATATGAAGCATTTTTTTAATAGGTCGAATATGCTATGTTTGAAGAGGTGGAAGATGGTTTATTAAAGCTAGGAAGCATTGAAACAGAAATTTGCAATACAAAATCTGAGTTTGAAGAGTTAAAGACTTCTATTGAAGGATTAATGAAAGAAATAATGTGGAGTAAAAAGGAAATTAAGAAGTACAAAGAGATGAACACATTGCGTTGTGTGTGCTTTTGCTTTATGACCATTGTCATTGTTATCTTGATGATGGTTGGTGAAGCAAATGAATCAAAATTTGTTGTTGGTTTTTAGTGTAAGAAGAGTGATTTGTGTAGTTTTGTTAGATATGAATTATATATAAATTGCATTCGGATTTATGGCATTTGGATGTTTATGTTAGAGCAATGTATGCTAATATACGATAGTTAATGTATTACGTGTGTATCAAGTGTAAATCTTCAATTACAGATCTGATATGATCTCATATGTAATCTGTATATATTGTGACCATGGTAATACAAGGGGATCATCGAGCTCTATTCCAACTTACAGTTTATGTATAATTTGAATTTGTGGCATTTGGATCAAATTTATATATGATTTGTACTTGTGGCTTTCTGATTTTGTTTTGATTGAATATTCAATTATGTTTCTTGTACAATATTGGGATTTCGTAATACTAGAGTGATTGAATAAGAGTAAGATGAGAACAATATGTTACATATTTGGTCATGACATGGAAGTAACAAAATATGAGAATAAGCAACAAACAAGAATAGAAACCATGTTCATAAAGATTGTTTCACATTTTGACACAAAATGCCGATAAAAAAAACAACAAACCATGTTCATAAATCAGAAACCATAACCATGTTCATAACCAAAATACCGACAAAAAAAACAACAAACCAAAATGCCAACAAAATAAAACCAAAAAACCATGTTCCCGTCCGAATGAATAAACTAGCCCTGAGCCTTTTACCCGGACCCAGTGGACCCGACCCGACTCGACCCGAAAAATTCGATTCGGTTCGTTTTAGTTCTCTACGATAACCTAATTAGGTTTTAATAATTTTTGGTTCGGGTTTCGGTTCGGTTCGAATAAAACTCGAGAACCGATCGATTTCCTAAACAACCCGAACCAAACTATAAAATATTTGATATTTTTAATTTTTTTTTAACCTATTAAAAAAAACCTAATTTACTAAAACAAACCAACTGACTCATGCAATTCTCTTTTTCTCTTTCTTCTTCAATTTCTTTCTGTGATTCTCTCTCCTCTTCAGTTCTCTTCCTTCTCTGCCTTATCCTTTTTTCCTCCATCTCCTGCTTTTCACTATTTCTGAATGTATTTTTCTCCACCTCATTTCTTCTCTGAATCTCCTATTCTCTTTATCTGATTTTCCTCTCTTTATTTTCTGATCTTTCTTCTCCTTTCTTATTTTCCTTCTCTCCTACTCTCTTTTTGATTCTTCTCCTCTGCCTCCATATTCTCTTCGCCGCCATCCAGAATACAACCTTAACAACATTTCCGATCCTAATTACGTTCAGATCTACACAATTTTTAGAGATGGCGAATGGATCCTATCTCTAATTTTGATTTTGATTCAGATTTTCGGGTCTAATTCGGGTCTATCGGATTTTTCGGGTCCAAAACGGGTCTTTCAGATAAAAATGAATGATTCTCAGGTCTTTATCGGGTATCACAAAATTTCTAAAACCCAATCCGATCCGAACCGAATTTTGCCCGGGTCCTAAATGGGTCCTATACCCACCTACCCTAACTACCCAAAATCCGAACAAATCAACCCGACCCGAAGACTCGAATGCCCAGGGCTAGAATAGACCATTTGACAATGATCGCATCAAATAATGATCCCATCCAAAATTACCAATAATCGATTACAAAAAATGCTGATAATAGCCATCAACCCATGATCACATCCGAAACACACAAAGAATTAGTGTGATCCCTCAAACCATGATTGCCAACCTTGAGATCCATGTGGCCATGATTCTTCACCTTGAGATCCTTTTGGTCGTGATCCTTTACCTTGAGATCCATATGTTTCTTTTTGTGATCCTTTTTGTACTTGTGATCCATGAACTTTTATTTGTGACCCTCTTTGTGCTTGTGAACCATGAGCTTGTCTTTGTGATCTTCCTTATACTTGTGTTTGTGCTTGTGATTGTGATGTGGGAGATTGTTTTTGTGATTCTTCTTGTGATTGTGCAACTTGTGCTTGTGAAAGTTATGGCTGTGAAGCTCCTTGTGTTTCTTTTTCATGTTCACATAAACAAAAATGTATGAAATGATCAATAAATATGCAATTATTCATTCGGATTTCACAATGAAGAAAGAGTTAAACCTGATATTTTCTTGGTCAACCCCTTGGTCTTTTTGTTGGAGGCTGAACAATTGGATTTTGACAACTTTGCTTGTTGTGTCCCTCTTGCAGGCAGTTTGAGCATGTCATCACTCTGCGAACACTTGATAACTTGGTAGTACTTAAAGAAGCAGTAGTTTCATTTACTCCTCTCCTTGCATAGTTTCTTGGTCTACCAGGATTACCCTTTTTCTAAGATGGTGGCAGGACATGTAATCTGTTTAATTTAGGCTACAACTTCATGCCTTGGACAGACCTAATACTATCTCTATATGTTTCCCACCACATTAATGTTATGTAGAAGTCATTGACATAAGGTCCAATTGGTTGGCATGTTATAGAGGCTATAGAGATTTTAACAGTTTCCACAACCAATTTTTATATATTCAATCATATTTTTATGACTTTTATCAGTTCTAAAGTCTTTACAGTTTTCTTTTTCAGTTTTGTTCTTTATTTTCAGGTTTTTTTTAAGAGGAAATTTAGTAAATATACATGGTTGAACAATTAATTAAGTAATTGGTAAAAGACAATTCAAAATTAGATAGTTAACAAAGAGAAACAAAATTTACCCCCAAAATGTCCGTTTTCATTTGACTTAATTACTCAAAATGTCGCTAGTTTGAAAATCTTGTTGATGACATAAATTTTTGACAACACTGTTCATTATTCACTCGGTATATTTACAACTTTTTGACAACACTGTTCATCAAAGTTAAACTGCTTCTAACATAGTTATTATGCAATTAGCGTGTTAAACTAGTTAGCATATTGTAGACCTGAAGACGGATTGAGAGACAGTGATTGAGAGACGGCGATTGAGAAATGGCGATTGAGAGATGAGAACGGAGAATGGATCAGCGAGAGATGAGAAAGGAGGATTGATTGGCAAGAGACGAAATGAGAAATGAGAATGGATCAGCGGAATAGTTGTTTCACCGGACGAGAGACGAGAAAAAAGAATCGTTGCCATCAAGAGAAAGAAGACGGAAAAGAAGATTTCTTTTATTTTTTGGCAACAAGAGAATTAGGTTACATAAGAAAAGTTGAAGAAAAAAAAGTAGATAAGAAATATGTGGTATAAATAATACATTAGATATTTTTTTAAAATATCTTGAAAATGGTCAAATTTTTGATCGATATTTGACCAAACTTTAGTTAGACCAACTATTATTTTTGGTCAGAAAATGATCAGAAGGTTTTCGTCAGACGAATTTCATTCATCAAAAATTTTGGATTAATTTAGGACCAAATTCATATTTTGGTCAGAAATTCATCACTAAATAGTGAGATTTATTTTCTATCAATACTGTGGTGTGGTTAGAATATGGTCAAAAATTTTTGTCCAAATTTTGATGATTATCATTCAACGAAAATTATCGACCATCTTTTGATCAAATACATATAATAGTCAAAATTTGATCAATAAGTAATCACATTTATTTGTTATTTAACACTTGGTCAGAAATTTGGTCAGAAATCAAGCTGTTTTCTTGTAGTGTGGGAAACCAATCAACTTTAAACAAGAGGATCATAATACTTCATCTTAGTATATAAAGAGTATGAAATTTCATTATTATTATCTCCAAACAAAGAAAAGATAATTTTACCCTGTAATGGATTTTCATGTTTTTCCTTTTGTTCTCGTCGCAATTTTCATATTACATGGCTCTTGTTATTCCCATAAAGGTACAATCTTAAAGTTACATAAGAATTAGGTTACATAAGAAAAGTTGAAGAAAAAAAAGTAGATAAGAAATATGTGGTATAAATAATACATTAGATATTTTTTTAAAATATTTTGAAAATGGTCAAATTTTTGATCGATATTTGACCAAACTTTAGTTAGACCAACTATTATTTTTGGTCAGAAAATGATCAGAAGGTTTTCGTCAGACGAATTTCATTCATCAAAAATTTTGGATTAATTTAGGACCAAATTCATATTTTGGTCAGAAATTCATCACTAAATAGTGAGATTTATTTTCTATCAATACTGTGGTGTGGTTAGAATATGGTCAAAAAGTTTTGTCCAAATTTTGATGATTATCATTCAACGAAAATTATCGACCATCTTTTGATCAAATACATATAATAGTCAAAATTTGATCAATAAGTAATCACATTTATTTGTTATTTAACACTTGGTCAGAAATTTGGTCAGAAATCAAGCTGTTTTCTTGTAGTGTGGGAAACCAATCAACTTTAAACAAGAGGATCATAATACTTCATCTTAGTATATAAAGAGCATGAAATTTCATTATTATTATCTCCAAACAAAGAAAAGATAATTTTACCCTGTAATGGATTTTCATGTTTTTCCTTTTGTTCTCGTCGCAATTTTCATATTACATGGCTCTTGTTATTCCCATAAAGGTACAATCTTAAATTCATGAACCAATCATATTCAAAATGTGATGGCATGTTCAATAACATTTGAACAATTCGTTTATTGTTAGTACGAATTTTAAAACGTTAATCAAATTGGTTTCGGTCGTGAAAACAGGGTCTTACGAATTTATGAAAGATGCAACATTAGCACCAACTATGGCTCGCTTCGACTACATAGTCATCGGAGGAGGAACCACCGGTTGTGCATTAGCCGCAACGCTCTCTCAAAACGCCAGGGTTTTGGTCCTAGAACGCGGTGGTTCTCCCTATGAAAATCCGAGGGCCATGGACATCGACAACTTCTACAACACACTCTTTAACATAACACCGGACTCGTGGTCGCAGCCTTTCATCTCCGATGACGGCGTTTTCAACGTACGTGCGCGCGTCCTTGGGGGTGAATCGGTGCTGAACGCTGGGTTTTACTCACGCGCGGAAGAGAGTTTCGTGGAGAAATCTGAGTGGGAGATGGAGGAAGTGGAAGCTGCTTACGAGTGGATCGAGAGGAAACTTGTGTTCAAGCCACAAGTAGGGGGATGGCAATCTGCGTTTAGAGATGGGCTTTTAGAGGCAGGTGTGTTACCGTACAACGGTTTCACGCTCGACCATATCGTCGGGACGAAGATCGGTGGTACGACCTTCGACCCTGCGGGCCATAAACACTCGGCCGCGAATTTGTTAGCGTATGCTAATCCACACACGATTGATGTCTACCTGCACGCTCTTGTTCACAAGATCATCTTCACCACTAAAGGTATTTGGTTAAGCTACATAGGCCAGGGGTTAGTTCGAATATTACAGTTTGTGTAATTCGGTTCGAGAAAATTTAACTCGAAAATAACCAAAATAAATTATGGTTGGGTATTATACAGTTTGTGTATTTACTTTTTTACCTAGTTTTTATTTTTTTGGGTTCAAATTCGGTTATATTCGGTTAAAGTCATGTACAATAGGTTAGTTGGGTTCTTCGTATAAAAATAATTAATATATTTGGTATATCTTAGTTTAGGAAAAAAAAATAATGTATGATTTGGTTTGGGTAAAAGTCGCAGGTCTAAAATACATTTGGTTTTTTGTAGTAACTTATTTATACTTTGGTCCATGGACAGGAGACCAAAGACCTAAGGCGTACGGAGTGATATATCAAGACGCGGATGGAGTGTTCCACAAGGCAGAGCTGGCGGAAAACGCAATGAACGAGGTGATTTTGTGTGCGGGTGCCCTAGGGAGCCCGCAGCTGCTGATGCTGAGCGGCGTGGGTCCTAAGGCACATCTTGAGTCCCACGGTGTGAACCCTGTAGTCCTAGATCTTCCCATGGTTGGACAAGGGATGGCCGATAATCCGATGAACAGTGTTTTTGTTCCTTCTCCTCATCCTGTAGAAATGTCCCTCGTAGAGGTCGTTGGGATCCCCAAGTTTCATAGTTACATTGAAGGTTTAAGTCGTGTGAATCTCGCTAACAACTTAAACAGTAGGTTCTTCGATGGTGTTCTAAATCTTCTCAACAAGGTACAATATAAAGGTTATTATAACTTAGTTATCATCAAAGATAACGAGACTATATGTTATTTACTTATGATGCATTGTGCAGACAAGCTTCTCCACCACATCAATCACAAACATTTTAAAATCCATTGATCTTCATTTTATGGACGAGATGGAAGTTGATGGCTGGATCGTCAATAAAGTCGACGGTCCGCTCTCGAGAGGTTATTTAGAACTCCGGAACAAGAATCCAGATGATAACCCTTCTGTGACATTCAACTACTTCCAAGAGCCAGAAGATCTAGAGAGATGTGTTAAAGGACTTAAAACCATTATGAAAGTGATAGACTCGAATGCATTCTCCAAATACAAGTACCCGAATGCAACCGCACGTGAGCTGCTCAATCTCATGCTGAGCCGTCCCATCAATCTAAGGCCAAGGCACGAGAGTGCATTGACCAACTTGACGCAGTTTTGCATCGACACTGTGATTACTATTTGGCATTACCATGGAGGTTGCCAAGTTGGAAAAGTGGTCGACAAGAATTACAAAGTCTTTGGCATTGATGCCTTAAGAGTCATCGATGGATCCACGTTTCTCAAGTCTCCGGGGACTAATCCCCAAGCCACGAATATGATGCTCGGAAGGTAAAACGTAGAAATCAAATGATCTATATATTACATATACATGCGTGTTATAGACTTAAATAAAACATAATTGTTGGAGTGTTTCATGTGTAGGTACATGGGGCAGAAGATTCTTCGTGAGAGAAATGCGTTCGGGAAAAAGAATGAAGATTATTATTCGATCATTAAAGATATATGATACCAATATATGCTCTTCATCGTCCAAATAAAAGAGTGATTATAATTTAGTTCATGTTGTCAGTTACTAGTAATCTTTCGGGTTAAGGAGCTATTTCCCCCTAAAAACTATCATATAGTACCATGTCCACACAAACTTTGTTCCTCATTCTAATTCCACTCCAATCTAAAGTTAAAAATCCAATTTCACACCATTTAGAAGTTTGAAACCAATTTCTCCATAAAATAAAAGTTAGAAACCAAATTACACACATACATGGATTACTATCGGTTTATTGATTACCAATCACTTTAAAACCACATTTTGGTCAAGCCTTAATCTCTAGAGAGTGTGTAAAATATGTCCCACATTGGAAGTTGGGAGGAACTTTGACTAATATATAAGGTACTTGAGATAATCCACTCATTGCCAATTGGTTTTGGGTTGAAAGCTCAGGAAACTTAACAGAATTAGTATGGTTGGTGCATTTCTCCAGTTTAAAAGAAATCATTAACGACTTTAATCAGTTCCATCATTTATCCAACTATTTCAAAAGAACATTATTTTTTGACAAAAATATGCAACATACGTATTTGCATCAGAAATGTTCAGACATTAATAAAAAAAGAAGAGATATTAATAAGAGAAAAACCGTCATTTTAATCTTGAATTTTCAAATTTCGGACATTTAAATTCTCAAATCTTAAAACATGTTTTAAACAACAAATTTTTTAGGTGACTACCATTTAAACCCCAAAATTATGTTGACTACTAACAGTTAATTAAACAGACTTAAATTTCGTTTAAACTCATCGTTAGATGAAAATGATACCGTGTTAGAAAATAGAAATGCCCCAAATCGAGCAACTCAATCCCTAAATTCTATTTTCTTTTTGGAACAAAATCCAGAAGATCGACTCAACCTCTCTTTTCTATCTCTCGATTCTTAACTGAAAATTAACGGGGTTATTATTCTCATTTGTTCAACCAATTTATTATCTCTCTTTGTCTTTCTATTCCAATGAATTTTACTTCTAACCGTGGCTTTCCTTCGAAATATGGGTGTGGATTAGGTGTAATCATATTGACATCTAAAACATAAAAGAATCCATAACGACTATTTTTCAGTTGTGTAAGCGAAAGAGATGTAAGGGTTCGTTCAACCACAAGAGATTTACGTTTTTGATACTGTTTTGTTGCTTATGTTTTGACATATTGAATTGAAACCGAGAGAAATAATAGTCATTTTATTTGTTTATGCAATATAAAGCATTTGTGTAAGTTGGTCGAAGATGCTGTGTTTGAAGAAGTTGAAGATGGTTTATTAAAGCTAGGAAGCATTGAAACAGAGATTTGTAATACCAAATCTGAGGTTGAAGAGTTAAAGTCTTTGATTGAGGGATTAACGAAAGAGATAATGTAGAGCAAAAAGGAAATTAAGAAGTGCAAAGAGATAAACACATTGCATTATGTGTGCCTTTGCTTTATGACCATTGTCATTGTTATCTTGATGGTGGTTGGTAAAGCAAAGGAATAAAAATTTGTTATTCATTCTTAGTGTAAGAAGACTGATTTATGTAGCTTTTGTTAGATATGAATTATGTATGAGTTGCATTTGGATTTATAGCAATTGGATGTTTACGTATAATTTAAATTTGTGACATTTATATCAAATTTATATATGATTTGAACTTGTGGCTTTTGGATCTTGTTTTGATTGAATGTTGAGTTATGTTTTTTGTACAATATTGGGATTTGGTAATATTAGAGTGATTGAATGAGAATAAGACGAAAATAAGATGTTACATGTTTGGTCATGACATGGAAATAGCAAAATATGAGAATTATTGACAAATAAGAAGAGAAACCATGTTCATAAAGATTGTTTCACATTTTGACACAAAATGCCGATAAAAAAAAACAACAAACCATGTTTATAAATCAGAAACCATAACCATGTTCATAACCAAAAAAACTGACAAAAGAAAACAACAAACCAAAATGCCAACAAAATAAAACCAAAAAATCATGTTCCCATCTGAGTGAATAGACCATCAAGCAATGATCACATCAGATAATAATTCCATCCCAAATTACCAATGATGGATAACAAAAAATGTTGACAATAGCCATCAACCCATGATCCCATCTGAAACACACAAAGAAGTTAGTGTGATCCCTCAAAACATGATTGCCAACCTTGAGATCCATGTGGCCATGATTCTTCACCTTGTGGTTGTGATCCTTCACCTTGAGATCCATGTGCTTCTCTTTGTGATCCTCTTTGTACTTGTGATCCATGAACTTTTCTTTGTGACCCTCTTTGTGCTTATGATTCATGAGCTTGTCTTTGTGATCCTCTTTATGCTTGTGCTTGTGATTGTGATGTGGGAGATTGTTTTTGTGATTTTTCTTGTAATTGTGCAACTTGTGATTGTGAAAGTTGTGGCTGTAAAACTCCTTGTGTTTCTCCTTCCTGTTCACATAAACAAAAATGTATGAAATAATCAATGAATATGCAATTATTCATTCAGATTTTATAATGAAGAAAGAGTCAAACCTGATATTTTTTTGGTCGACTCCTTGGTCTTTTTGTTGGAGGCTCAACAGTTGGATTTTGATAACTTTTGCTTGTTGTGTCTCTCTTACGGGCAGTTTGAGCATGCCATCACTCTGCAAACACTTAATAACTTGGTAGTGTTTGAAGAAGCAGTAGTTTCGTTCACTCCTCTCCTCCTTGCATAGTTGCTTGGTCTACGAAGATTACCTTTTTTCTAAGATGGTAGCAGGATATGTAATTTGTTTAATTTAGGCTACAACTTCATGCCTTGGACAGATCCAATACCATCTCTATATGTTTTCCGTCAGTCTGATTGGTTAGCATGTTGTAGAGGCTGTAGAAATTTTAACAGTTTCCACGGCCAATTTAATTAAATCATACTTTTATCAGTTTTAAAATCTTCACAGTTTTTCTTTTCAGGTTTTTATAAGGGTAAATCAATGTTTTCACGCCCGGTCCGGACTGCCCGGTTCACCCGGTTAACCCGCCATCCGATCAATATCCCGGTCCGGTTCTGATATCAATATCCGCTTGTTATAAGACCGAGAAAATCCAGAAAAATTTGCGGATAAACCGTGAACCGCTGATCCGCTAACCCGGGTCAACTGGCAATTGATTTATAAATCCTTTGACTTTGATACATCTAATCTCTGATTCAATAAGGTTTTATCGAACTTCGTCTTCGGCCGCTTGAGAAGATGGTTTTGTTACTTTTGTATCAACGAAGCACTATGTCTCCTCTAACTTCTTTTTTTGTTGTTTAAGATTTCTTTTTGTGTTGCTTGATTATAGATTTTTGTTTCTAATTTTTTAACTTGATTATCCCCTTCTCATGTTTATGTATCTCTTAGGAGTTAAGAATCGATTAGATTTTAGTCAAATCTGTTTTTTGGTTGTGATTTTAACACATATTGGAAACAGAATCAAATGAAACTATGAAGAAATAGTAACTACAAATCGTTCAATTCAAGAAAAAATGATGTTGCTTGGGCCTATGTGATTCAATCGAAGGATTCAAGAGGGAAATTGGTTTTAGAATGTGGATTTTGCTTATTACAATTTACTTTTGCAAGATACATGAGAGGAATGCCATACCAGGATAATTATGGTTATTTGTGGATACAGAAATCCACACTCAGAAATTTATATGTTTTTGTAAGGAAAAGAACTTAGGAGAACTAAGGACTAGATTCTCTCGAACAGATTTGACAATATAAGCTAGCACTAACTGAAATAAAGACTTTGTATTAATCGGTTGAATGAAACGGTTACAAGGATTTTAATGAAGAAGATGAACTGAAAAGAGCTCTAGGAGCAGTTACAGAGTTTTCAAGTGTAAAAAATGTGTAAAAAAATCAAGCCGAAGGTCCTCTGAACTAAGCAATTCTCCTTCTTTATATAGCTCACCTCATCGAGCTTCGAACTCCAGCGCGTACCTCGGCCACGTGCAGCAGCTTCAGCCGGAAATCTCGCCACGTGCAGCAACCTCCTCTGCAATCTTCGGACTCGTTTGAACTGGCGAGAATATGCTCTGACTCGGTTCGGATCCTTCCTTATTTCTCGGGATTTGGTCGAACTGGAGCTCGACCTCGTCGAACGGAGCGTCATGCTGCTCAGGATTGGATCATTGAAAGGTGAATGGGCATGGCCGTAAGCTTGAGGCCCAGTCATTTTAGCTTAGTTCAGACCTGCCCGTTGGGCTTGAGTGGGCCGGATTTGGGGTGTCAAATCCAGCTCCAACAATTTCTCTCCAGCCCATTTAACGAGAGCAAGCTCGAGCTTTAATGGGTGGCAAGATGGAACTTTTGAAAGATTTTGTGTTTGATTATGCTGACATCACGGAGTCAGATAATCATTCGAGATCGACGGTTCAGATTCTGGAATGGTGAACAGTCCATCGATCGTGCAGTCGAGGATCGACCTCGAAATCACAACTTGGCGTGTCGGGGTGAAACTGTCATTAACTCGTCCAAGTGGACGGTCGAGATTCGAAGTAAATATTATCATTTACTTTTCTGTTTCGGCGGTCGAGCTTCCCGGGGCAAGGTGCTGTGCTCGAGAAGATTCGTGCAGGATTCGCGTGACGTGGAAGGTCCAGATCGATCGAGCTCTGAAGAACGTCGAATCGTCGAGGTCGAATATTCGACGGTTGAGATCGGGAGATCGGACGGTTGAGATTGGAGCATGGCCAGATTCTCTGCGATTTCCGAGGTGGGCAATAATTGCTCAAATATAAAGTCCACCTTCTCCACTCCTTCTTTAACCGTATCTGCTCGTCGATTAAAGGTACCTTCTTCTCTTTTCTTCCTTTTATTTTCTGTAACTTCCACTCGTTGCGTTTTCCGAAAGAACTCCAACTTTCATCCTCGAGTTTTCTAGGTTTTAGCGTTTTTGTTCTCTTCCTCCTTCTTCTTTTTCTGATGTCGGCCATCGTAAAAATCGAGGGAGAAAGCTCCGGGAGGGCCGCCGTAGTCCCGGGTCACTCCAAGATTAACGACCAAAAAACTCTCGATGACTTTCGTCGAAAATGCGAAATCCCCGAAAGGGTGGAGCTGGCGGTTCTAACGCCAGCGGAGACTCTGGCGAGTGTTGAGCCGGGTTTTTGTTGCACGTATGCAA